CCCACATGATATCTGAAAAATGCTGAGATGTCTCAAGACGTGTTCCCAATCCATCCGGTTGCTGATGCGCAAAGCTGCGGTCAGCTGTGCCAAATCAGCCCACTCTCCTCAAAGGGAACACCTACTTTGCTGCCAGTTTTCCCATCACTCGACGGACCAGACGAAGTCTCCTCTCGCTTCTCTCCGATCCCCGCCGGTGGCGCGGAGATTGTCGTCCCAGCGGCGATCTCATCCGGCAGCACAAAGCGAACCCTCTGGCCCGGCCGAAGTGGCAGTGGCCTCGAGCAAATGTAGGGCGCCATTTTCACGCTCCGTTTGGCCGTCGGCGTCTGGCCGTCCGGCTCCCTCGTCTCGACGAGAAGACGATGCTGCTGTACCTCGGTCGACTGGGCCTGGCTCGACAGACCCTCTTGACGATCGAGCCCCGAGAAGCAGAACCTGCTCGGCCGGCCGGCCAACGGGTGTTCTCCGACCAGATGACTCGTCGCCGGCCCCTTCACCGACCTCAGATACGACGACTGAGGCGTGAGGCCGAAGCCCGACTTGACGAATAGCTCCGGCAGAAAGGGTTCTTTGCCGCCGCGCATCGAAGCTAGGCTCTCGGTTTGTCGACAGACCGAACTAATCCGAGCCTGAGCTTGACTTCGAGCCCGGTCCCGGTCGAGGTCCAAGTCCCGGCCGGCCAGCCATTGTTGTCCGATAGTCTTGGAGCCGATAGTCTCGCCGTCCAACCCGTCGATCCAGGGAAAACGATGACGTTGGCTGAAGAAGCGACGCAGACTCAGACCTCGACTTTGCGTCAGGTTGGCCACCTTATCGATGATCTCTACTGTCTGCTTGTTCATCTCAAATGCGGCCGGTTTGCGTAGGATTCGACTGGCCAAACCGTTGATGAGTCTGGGCAAAGGTAGCGCCTGTTGAAGATCGGCCCACATGATCCAGCATTGAAATGGACCCATTTTGGTCGGTTGCAAATGGGGACTCCACACCGGCTCGCCGCTTTGACACGTCGTCGCCGTTTGACGAGCCGAACGACTCGCTTCGGTGGCAATCAGCTCGGACGACGTCGACGCGAACGACGATCTCGCCGGTCGAGTTGACGACGCATCTGCCTCTCTGGTCAGCCGTTTTGGCCGACTCCGACGCGTCCGAGATCCGCCGCCGCTGCCGAGTCCGAGTCCCGTCGACGGACACGATACACTCGGCTGCTGTGGCGACAGTGACGGCGGCGACGACGGCTCCGGAGGAGGAGGAGGCGATGAAGATGAAGACGAAGAGGGTAGACTGGGCCGAGGCAGACAGTCCGCCTCGTTGGCCTCCTCGTCGGCTTCGTCGGCCTCGCTCCAGACGATCGACTTGCCGAGACCGGACGACTCGTCGAGCTGGTCCGTTTGAGCCGATTGCCATTCCTCGTCCGTGGCCCCCGACCGTGTCGGACGTCCGGCAGACGAGTCCGTCCGATGCGACCTGACCAAGGCGAAGCTTGACGTCGTCGAGACAGTCGGCTTCCCTGGCGACCGTCGTTCCGGCTGACCGGGCTCGAGCTTCTGTCCGTCCGTGTCACCGCGAGGCGGGGTCAAGCGAGTGCTGGGACTCAGATCAGGCGGCCAGTCGTCGTTGTCGTCGTAGGGCAGAAGAGAGGATGTCCGCTTCACGGGCAGTCGGCCCGGAAACGAAGCCTGCGAGAGGTCGGTCTCGATGGTGCGCGCCAGGCTGATGGTGGCCTCGAGCGAGGCCGACCGGCCCAAGTGGCCCGGATCGCCGGGTTGCGGCTTGCGGATGTAGTCGTCGACCGTCCGTACCATGTTCAAGGCCTGCTGTAGGGCAGAAGCCGCGGCCGCCGGCTTTCGGACGACAGCGGCTGACGACGTCGACAGGAAGAATGACGAGCCCGGCCGGCCGGTGTCTCGGCGCTCCGGGTCCGTGTCGAGAGAAGAGTTGCGGCTGGTTAGTTCGTACAGACTCTCCAGACCCGCAATGCCGCCTGCGGACGTCGCGCCGGTCTCGACGGAGCTCACGAAGCTGGTCGGATTGGGCCAATAGCGAGCGCTTCGACGAGCCCGAGGGCCTATGCTGTCGCCGAGGGCCGGCAGGCGGCGCAGTCCAGCCGACTGGCCGAAATAGCTGGTCTGAAGGGCCGAATGACAGGGATCCAGGCTGTTGGAACAATTGAAGATCTGGTCGTACACTTCTCGCAAATTCATCTGGCGCAACAGCAGACGCTTGACTGGGAAAACATCGAAACGAGCCCGCGTAAATGGATTAAGGGGCAGACTTGGAACAGACCAAATGTAATAAATATGCTCTGGCATACTCATAAATGTCTATTAGCATCAAAATGTCTTACACAAACAGGACAATTGCAATATCCCATAATAATAATAATAATAATTATTATTATTATTATTATTATTATTATTATATCATATCGTAGTCTATATCCAATTCCCGCATTAATTTCAATGTTGTCGTTCTTTTTATGAGATGTAATCACCCTATTTCGTTTAAGATGAAGAAAGACTAGTAGTTAAGTGATTAAACCTCAATATGCCCGTTAATCTCCTGAGATGTCATCTCATTCAGGATGGACCACTATTTCCACCTCATTTAGCACCCCCAGCAGGATTCGAGACCACGGACACCAGTGAGTCACAGAGCAGACACGACATTTAAGTCAAATAAAAGCATAATTAGATGTATTCACCCTATTTCGTGTAAGGTGATGAAGGACTGGTAGTAGAATTTTCCCACAATGATAATCAGTGTGATGAGATGTATTCACCCTATTTCGTGTAAGGTGATGAAGGACTGGTAGTAGAATTTTCCCACAATGATATGAGTAGAGCTGACGTTTCCATTCAATTTCAAATTGCCTTGCTTTCCCAACACCCTGGATGAGAACACCTTTTGGGCAGCTGACTTTTCTATTGAATTTCACATAGCCTTTCTTTCCCAAAAGTTGTTCTCCTCCAGGCACCAGTGGACTGCAGTTTCGACCTC